GTCTGTCTGTCTATCTATCTATCTATCTATCTATCTATCTATCATTCTGTCTGTCGTTCGATCTATCGTTCGATCTATCGTTCTATCTGTCTGTCGTTCGATCTGTCTATCTATCTATCTATCTATCTATCTGTCTGTCTGTCTGTCGTTCGATCTAATCTATCTATCTATCTATCTATCTATCTATCTATCATTCTATCTGTCTGTCGTTCGATCTATCGTTCTACCGTTCTATCTATCGTTCTATCTATCGTTCTATCTGTCTGTCGTTCTATCTATCTATCTATCTACCGTTCTATCTATCGTTCTATCTATCTATCTATCTATCTATCTATCTATCTATCTATCTATCTATCTATCGTTCTATCTATCGTTCTATCTCTCTATCTATCTATCTACCTATCTATCGTTCTATCTGTCTGTCGTTCAATCTATCGTTCTATCTGTCTTTCTTTTGATCTATCTATCTATCTATCATTCTATCGTTCTATCTGTCTGTCGTTCGATCTATCGTTCTATCTGTCTTTCTTTCGATCTATCTATCATTCTATCGTTCTATCTGTCTGTCGTTCGATCTATCGTTCTATCTGTCTTTCTTTCGATCTATCTATCATTCTATCGTTCTATCTGTCTGTCGTTCGATCTATCGTTCTATCTGTCTTTCTTTCGATCTATCTATCATTCTATCGTTCTATCTGTCTGTCGTTCGATCTATCGTTCTATCTGTCTTTCTTTCGATCTATCTATCATTCTATCGTTCTATCTGTCTGTCGTTCGATCTATCGTTCTACCGTTCTATCTATCGTTCTATCTATCATTCTATCGTTCTATCTGTCTATCATTCTATCGTTCTATCTGTCTGTCTATCGTTCTATCTGTCTGTCGTTCGATCTATCGTTCTATCTGTCTTTCTTTCGATCTATCTATCATTCTATCGTTCTATCTGTCTGTCGTTCTATCTATCTATCTATCTATCTATCTATCCACACTTACACACACAAACTCAAACATTATAATTACTCACATGCTAACTACTGTTTTCTCACAAACAGACTCAGGTTTGAAAGCATTTTAAAAGTGCACTTCAGGGAAAACCAAAAAGAAATGCCACAAATGTGAAGAATATGCTTCCATTTAATTATAATTCATTTATTCATCGTTGCACACTCGTGTGAAATAGCTGCCTTTAAAACTGAAGATGCTGTTAATTCTCTCAATCCCAATCAAAGTGGCAATGCTTCTAAAGATGCAATTAGTCCCTGACGGGCTAATTAATCTCTACCAACGCAGAGACTCTACCTGTTGTGTGGATCATTAGAGGCGTGCAGTCGCTCACTTAGCTTCCAAACGTTAATCAGCTTCCCTCTTTCGATGGATGATTTATTTATCATGGCACGAGTGATGACCCCAGCTATAAATAGCATCATAGATGATCATTAAAAAATGATGAGGTGTCTATCAGCTCGCTGGACCCTGAAAGCTTGTAGGGGGTTGTTTTGATATAACCGTTTGAAGATACTGGTAGGTGTGCGCCCCCTCTTTAAGAAACGCACACAAGGAATTAGATTCCACACCAACCGCTACAAACCTCATGAATTAGCTTACATAAACACATGCACAAATAATGTGAATGATGTGAAAAAGCTTAGTTATTTGAAGTACAAATTATTGATTTATACTAAAGCAAGCATCAATGCTGTATTTATTAGATAAAAAAAGCAGTAATATTGTGAAATATTATTACAATTTAAAATAACTGTCTGCTATTTGAATACATTTTAAAATGTCATTTATTCCTGTGATGAAAAGCTGAATTTTCTTCACAGTCTTCAGTGTCACGTGATCCTTCAGAAATCATACTAATATGCTGATTTGCTGCTCAAGAAACATTTATTATTATTATCAATGTTGAAAACAGTTGTGCTGCTTAATATTTTTGTGGAAACGATGATGCATTTTTTTTGAAAACCAAAAAATAAAAAGTGTTTTTCTTTTTTTTCTTTCGAATTTTTAGAAAATTCAACAGAACAGCATTTATCTGAAATACAATTTTTATAACATTATCTTTTTTTCCACTTTTGATCAGTTTAATGCTTGCTGAATAAAAGTTTACATTTCTAAATACATATTCTTACTGCCACTTTAACTTGGTAGGGTATATAATGTATATAATAAATTTTTGATTCATTTATTTGTTTTAAAACCAATTTTTGTCATATTGGTGACCTAGATACCACAGAATCTGTCCCTTTTTCTAAGTGATGTGCTACATAATCATTCCTTGAAAACTGGCTTCAAAACGAATTGTTATATAACCATTTATTGAGAAATTAAAAGCACTCCTCTTTATGTTTGTTTCAGTTGCTTATCTCGGAGACATCGCGCTACTGAATATGTGTTCTGTGTGAATGGCTTGGTATCGGTTTTAACCCATTCAAGATCTTCTCCGCATTGAGTTTCTATAATATTTTGAATGCATAATGCAGCAACTGCGAGTCTCGTGGGCTAGCCCAGTGGTTCCCACCATCACAGGCAGTCACAGCACTCAATTCAGCATGTGTTCATGTTTGTGTGTGCTGTCTGCGTCACTCAGAGCACGTGCCTATATCGAACATTTTGTATATCGTTATCGAAGAAGGTGTACCGTCGATAAATATCGATACCGTTTTATCGGCCAGGCCTAATTTGGACTCTTTTGATCTAGATCAAAGAATATCAAACAAAACATTTCATAAAAAAAGTTTGTCAAGTTTTAAATGATAAAACGGTAGTTTAAAATGAACACAAAATGTATTTGGACTGATTCAGGTTGCCAGATGTTAGTGGAAAATGCTCTTACAATTTTGCAAATGTGGGTTATTTATTAAAGCAATAAGCCCCGTGAAGCCGTGGTTTACAGTGAATTTATAACAGCTAAGGGGCGTTGTTAGGCACGACGCGAAGCTTAGCTGTTATAAATTCACTGTAAACCATGGCTTCACAGGCATTATTGCTTTTATAAAACGGTTATTCCATATACGTAGTAAAGTTTCACAGAATAAAACAACAAATAAAGTGTAATGATATTAATAAAAACAGTATTCTTCCACCAAACAATGTAGTTCCTCAGAAACAGTT